TTCAGCCCCAAACCAGGAACCGAAGATCAGCCGCGGTAGCCAAGGAGGCCGCGCGGGAACCAAGGGGCACGGCCACGGGAAAAGAGCCCAGGCACGGGAAAACCAGCGGCCGGCCGTAATTCCATGGGGCAAAATGCAAAATACGAAAAGCCAAGGAGGAAGCCAAAGGGCCAGCTCATGGGGAAAAGAAAATCTTGGAATTCCAAAGGCCGGTTTGGAATTCCAAGAGACAAAAATAAATACTAACATAAAAAGTATAAAAGACATTAATTAAAAGATAATAAATGAACTAAAATGTTAGCTCATAATGAGCTAATCCTTAGTTCAATAAATGAACTAAAGTCCAGCTCATAAGTGAACTAAAAGTTCAGCTCAAATATGTTAAACTACTAGACTCAAGGGAAGCCAAAATTTGATTTATTTTGGACTAGTGTTGACACCCCTTGTCTATATCACCATTCAAGAAATTGATCAGGTTGTAGCTTACCCTCAAAGTTAGGAACATCAATTTTAATTCCATAGTCCCAATTTCTTTGTTGCCTATGACGATTTCTAGGAGCCTCTTCTCACTTTCAGAAGTTTGATCATTAGGATTAGCATTAGCGTTGTTAACATTCAAGTTCTCAATTGCTTCAGCCATGGTATTAATCTGTTGTTGCAAATTATTCAATTGTTGCATAAGGTTTTGCCAATCAGCTGGATTATTAGCCATTTCAGAGAATAGAAAAGATTCGCCAAGTAAAGCCAACAAAAAATCAAATCAACCAAGGATGAGAACTTGCTCTGATACCAAAACTGATGTATGCAACTTGAAACAAAACACAAAGAGAGAACAAGAAAATCAAGACTAGCTCTTTACAAATTTAAGACACCACTTGGAGAACAAAATAGGCTAAATAAACAACTAAATTTCAGAATAGAAAAGAAGCGTCATCCAACAAAGCCAAAGCAAAAGAAAGTTAGCAAAAGAAACAAACTAAAAACAAACAAAAGCTATCTTCAGAACATCCTACAAGAGGACTCCTCACATGCACCGATTGTAGGAATATATATTTCAGATAATGTTTAGATATGCAAACCAAGGGTCCACCACTGCAAAGGGGTCCAACGTCCTTCCAAACTCTTATAGCAAATGCCACCAAAACAGCCAACAAATCCACCAAAACAGCCAACAAACTTTACCAACGGAACTAGAAGAAAGATACAAGTGGAGTGGAACTTGCGGAGAGAAGAAAGCGGTTAGAAGCCCAGATGAAGGGTGGAGAAGCTCGCAAGCCTTCCAAGAGGTAGAAGAGGGAATGAACAAAGCTCTCAAGCTTTTCCAAGAAGAACCCGCAGGTTATAGCAACTTTGCTCTCAATATTCACCAACCCATTTTATCTCAAAGCATCTCACATTTATAGGCAATAGAGGGAAACTAAACAGCCCAAAAGAATACTTCAATTCCACATAAATGGGGAATTGAAAATCCAATAGATTATGCACAGAAATCCCAAACGACACAACAAATCTCAAGGAGGAGGCCACGGTTCCAACATCCAAGCACAGGAATCAAACAGGTAAATATCGGGTCCAACAACCAACTTCATTTCACAGTGAAAAGGGGACCACAGGAAATAAAGAAGGCATCAAACCGAAGAGTCAGTAGCATTCCGTGGGAGGAAAACCAGCAGGAAAATTGCAGCAGATCATGAGACAAAAGGAAGATGAAAGAACAAGTTCCACTCACCAAATTTTGCTCCTTTTCTCTTTAATTTCATTACTAAACATTAGCTCATAATGAGCTTCACCACTATATGATCATAATGAGCTGGCACAACTAGAATTTCAACAAACCAAGCTCAAACCACTAACAACCAAGGCCCATTCGAAACCAGCAAACTTCCCCTAAGGACATGATGGACCCCAAAACCAGCAAACCCAAAGTAAGCATAATCCAAACCAATTCCTACCATGATCATTGGATTTACCACCATCATTAGATAGCATAAAAATAAAACAAAAAATAGAAAATATAACTAATATTGTTCAAAACAAAAATAATGCAAAAATCTAAATGCATCATTACTCAAGGGATGTCGTTGAAGCCTTGTAGACGAAGAAAGCATAGAAAGCATCAAAGAGGAGAGAGGGAGCAATCTCATTAAAGAATGTTCATTTTTCTTTCTTTGAATATTCTGTTAGGGTGCTCTTTTCTCCGTTTCTTTCTTTCTGCCCTTTTTTCTTATTTTTTCAGTGTTTTTCTGAAGCAAAAGATGCCTGTACTATGGAAAATGTTGGCCTTCTCTTGTTTATGACATACTTTCTAGTGCGTGGGAGTACCTGGCCACAATCTTCTGAATGGATGACTGTTTTGCAAAAAAGAGATAAATTTGTGAAGTTTAGGCAGACTCATTGGGATTCTTGCATGGGTCAAGGTTGACTTATACCAGTCTGCCCTTTCCTGGAAATGTGAGCTTGTGTTGCTGTGTGGGCCACTACATGGGCCATTGCTGACCCTTGTGACACTGCACTGACCCGATTCTCTTTTTGATTTTCTTAAAACATTTATTTCATGATTGTTTATATCATTTTGCCTCGTTTTAGCTAATTAATGCTTTTTAAACTCCAGAGGTCTAGCTGAATTTGGAGTCAAATATATTATCTTCTTATTGGTTAAAAGGGATTTATATTCATGTAGGCATGAGTACTACTGTTAGCTTAAAGCTCGGTAGCAATTTTGAGAAAGATTAGCTTGAGACATCACTGATGGCAATAGTTTCTGTTCAATATATGAACGGTCCAGCAGAGTATTATGTTTTTTTTTTTTAATTTGTGAAACGCTTTGATCTCTTTCTTTCATTTAATATTGCTGCTCCCTGTTGTAATGCAGCATAAGTTTTTTTTGACAATCTTGGATGATGTAGGTAGTGATTTGCCGGACATCGTGGGTCAGATGTTTTGCATATCATTTTCTTTGCTTCTGGTTAATCGATCTCCGTTGAGTGTTAACATTGTCTTCCATTGTTTTTTACCTCTTCACAGGGCCATCATGGTTGTGTTAATGCAATTTCTTGGAATTCAAGCGGCTCGTTATTGATCTCCGGATCAGATGATACCAGAGTAAATTCTGTGAACTTGTCTTTTTGGTCAAATGTTCTATGTGAAGCTATGATTAATTGAATGTTCTTAAGGCTATCAGTTTGCTATTTTCTCTCCTGATCTCTCATCTCTTCCCTTTACAAGCCAGTCGTGGAAAGAGTATACCTGTCAAGCTTATAATATGTCTTCTCATTTAATAGTCAATTTAGAATACTTTCAAATTAACCTGATAAAAATGGTTTGCTTTGTAACTTTGCTCGATAGTTGAATGCTTTTGATTTCACAGGTTAATATATGGAGCTACTCAACCGGTGGACTGATTCATAGCATTGATACGGGGCATTCTGCAAACATATTTTGTACAAAATTTGTTCCAGAGACATGTGATGAACTTCTTGTTTCTGGTGCGGGTGATGCAGAGGTAGTCTCCTGTTCTGAGAGCTGGGGCTTGGAGGTTAGCGTCACATGATGACCTGAATTTGACAGGATAAACACTGGTTATTCTTTTCTTCTAGGTTCGCCTGTTCAATGTGTCTCATGCAAAGTGGAAAAGTGGCGATGTTAGCACCTTGGAACCATCAGCGTTTTTCCAGTGCCATTCCAGGCGGGTCAAGAAGTTGGCTGTAAGATTTCTACTAACTTCTTTTTTCTTTGTTTTGTTTTATCATGTATTCAATTGCCTGTCCTCACATAACATGTATCATCTATGTCCGGTTCTCTTGCTCTTATTTATCTGTTGGTTTTCTTTGCAAATGGAATTTTTTTTTTCTTATCAGTATTTCCTTTACAGGTTGAAGTTGGAAATCCTCATATATTGTGGAGTGCAAGTGAGGATGGGACATTAAGGCAACATGACTTAAGGGAATGTTCTACTTGCCCTCCTGCAGGTTCTTCTAGTCAGGAATGCCGCAATGTTCTTGTAAGTACTATCTCTACCTCCAATTGCATGGTAGCGGAGCATATTAAATCACATAATTCATACTTTCACAAGTGTGTAGATTCTAGAACCTACAAGATTCATGAACTATATGATTTAAATGACTGTATCAGGTGCTTGAACTTCTTTGATTTTACGCTGTCAACAACTTATGCTATAAACAGTGTTACTTAGATTTTGAGAAATAGGATCTAGGAAAAAACTTGTAAGCTTCATGAGTAATTGATGCATTTTTGTAAAGCACTCTCGACTTATTTAGATGAACAAAAGTATTCTATGTGAAAAAGTACTGCAGTTTGTTCTGTTTTCTGGCTTCAAGAATTTTGCTTCATGAATATGTTGTGTTACAGCTCTCATTCAACTTTTGCACCTTTTGGTAGCTTGACCTTCGATGTGGGGCAAAAAAATCTCTAGCTGATCCTCCAAAGCTTTGCTTATTACTGAAATCTTGTGACATAAGTACCACGCGACCCCATCAAATCCTTGTAGGGGGAAGGTAAACATTATAGATTCCGTTAATTGTCACAATTCTATAATCATGCATATTAAGTACCTTATAAACTTATCTTAATTTCTTTCTTGTGCACAGTGATGCGTTTGCCCGATTGTATGATAGGAGAATGCTTCCTCCATTGACAACTTGCCAGACCAAAGCAAAACCACCTCCTTGCATTAGTTATTTTTGTCCAATGCATCTTTCAGAGCACGTAAGTTTGGCAAATTTCAGCTTACTTATTAGTTTTTGTTAAGCATAGAGAGATATAAAATGCGGAAAATATTCCATTTTTTATTGAGTGGAGTATGCTTAGTGTATTGTATCTTAGAACATTATACTCATTATTCTTTTATAAATAGATTATTCCTTTAGTGAATAATACACAATAAACGACCTTTCCTCTAAAAAATGTATAAGAGCGAGGTTAGTCTCATGCCTTGCTCCTCTCTCTCTATCTACGACCAAAGTTTGCCTGGTCATGATTTTGTCTATGACCAGACCTCCTGATCATGACCCAAAGTTCTGCTTGCAAGCACAAACTTCCCCTTGCGAGCTTGACCTCCCGCTCTTTAGCTCTACAATCCATTCGCAATCTGGTTGCATTGTGCATGCAACTTGTGCCTTCTGCCTACGAACATACGCCGTCCACATATTGCCCCTTTATGCAAGTGGATGAGATTGTTTGATCCATGCTCACCATTGCATTTGAAGCGTCCAAATTGTAAGTGTCTTGCAAGAGTCGTTTGTAAGTCTTGTCTAAGTTGTAATAGTTTTTATATTATGAAGTAAAGTTGTTGTTTTTAGTTTATTTGTCTATTCTATGTCTTTATTTTGTTCTAAGAAAGAGTTAGTTTTTTTGATCAAAAATTTGGGTCCCTTCCCAAATTTTTGTTTACATCACTTCTTTAGGCACCACCACTTCTTGCATCAGATGACTCTCATTCTCAGTGATCTTAGGCTCTCAAATTTTCTGTTTGTCTGTCTCTCTCTCTCATATGGTGTCATGGCCTCCCAACGTCCTCTTAATGTCTCAAAACTCCCCTCCATCATCAATATTACAATCCAAGTCAATGGTACACCTTATCTCCTATAGATAAGGGCCTTTTACTTGTTAATTCTTATGATAAGGTTGATCACCTTGATGCTTCTCCTAATCGAAATGATACTGTCAATTTTTCAAAATGGCTAGTGATCATCTACTATGTTCTTACTTTTCTACTTAATAATCTTGAACCTTCCGTTCTCTCTATTGTCATGTATGAAAGAAGATGTGAAAGTTTCTTCATTCCGCATTCTTTTAGGATAGTAATCTTTTGTGTGTTCACTCTTTATTTTAAGATTTGCTTTCTTTAGCAAAATGATATGAAGGTTAGGAATGCTATGACACATAAAGACGAGAATGAGATTAAGTACTTCAGTATCGCCTTGCACTATTTATCAACAATTTTGTAGTAGTAGAATGATGATTTTTTTCTCAAATATATCTTTATCTTGCTTCCCCCGTTATAAAGTTGCAGTCTTAATTGATGGCTAACTACATGATTCCAAAATTGCAAACACTCCCCGTAGTTCTTCCAATTGTTGAACTCTCAACTCCTTAACCTTTGACCCCACCAATCTGCCTTGGCAACTGTCCATAAGGATTGGGGAGGGAGCCATGGATGTGGTGGCTAATTGGTGGCAGTTTAGGTTGAATCCATATTGCTTTTTCTCGTTGCCCTCGTTACAATTAAACAAATCATTCTCTTCAACGTTGTTTGCAAAAGTTTAGGCATCTCTCCACTGCCTTAAATTCTTTCATAATCAGTAATTCCTACCCACTTTTTATGGTGCTTTTTTTCTCTATGGCTATTATTATCTCTCTGGAAGATAATGACTGATTGCTCCGACAATTTCAGATCTCTCTCTCAGCATCTTATATCATCTCTTCATTTGGATCCGCTGCTAGGTTTTTAGATCCAAGTCCTCTTCATATATAACATGTACCACCAACTAATTTTCTCTCTCCAAATATTTTCTTTGTACATGTCATTGCTGTTGATTGTTCCCTCTATTCTAGGAAAAGGCATTGTCAATTCTTCCAAATCTCTCTTAGATGTTTAGTATGCCCCATAGTTTCTTTTAAATCCATAGTCTATTTATTATCTTATAAGAAATCATAATTATTCAGTAACTATTGATCCTTCTCATTGTATTTTCAGGATCTGAGTTAAGGGAAGTTAATAGGCGGAGTCATTAAGGTGTTGAATTTGGCATAATCTACGCTACTTAACCACCTATAAACCTTCTACCCTCCCTCTCTTCCACTATTACTCTATATCATGTCATATTTGCTCGGGCTATACTCCTCCTAATAGACTTGAAGATTTTTTCTCCTCGTCTCTTTCAAAATTTGACTTTCTTAAGTACAAGTTGGGAAAAAAACAACATATATATTTTTCTTATTTTACCAATAGTTTTCATAATATTCTGTTTGAGTTAATCTACTCAAATATGTAGGGCTATAGTTTTGTCCTAAAAATTTCTCCATTTTGTTACTTTCATCAATAATTATGTGATGGACACTTTGGTTTATTTTGCTTATATGTAGGTTATAATTTCAATATGGATTGATAATGCTTGGCATTTATGTAGTCTTTGTTCTCACTTTTTTTCTTTCTGATAGGAAACACTTGTAGATCACAAGTATTTCCTATCAATCCTCGAAAAATAGCGAGAATCCCTCACAAAATCCACACAAAACCACAAAAACAGTAGATAATTTGTATTTTTTTGATGAAAGGAACACGGAAAATAGCAAGATACACTTGATCCTCAATTCGAGAGGAGGATCGATCTCTCCCAAATCTCTCTCTCCCAAATCTCTAGACGTCGCTAGAGCCCAAAAAAAACCTAAATCTAAAAGATCTCAAATTTCAGCCAAATTCAAGATGCCCAAACCCTAGGGAAACCAACTATTTAATGCATACAAATCAAAAGGAAATCTCTAAACAGTCCCTACATTCAAATTTCCCTCT